TGCTCAAGAACCATCCCTGGGTCACAGCCAGAAGGAGAATCAGCCTAAGGAACCAGGCACAGAAAACCTCATGTGAGTACCAGGAAGGAAGAATATGTTGTAGGGTCCCCTCGTGGCCACCTTGAGCATGCAGCTGATAGGTGAGCCACTCAATGGGAAAAAGAAAATAAAGAAGGTGGCACCACACTATGAGACAAACATGAAGTAGGGATTTGCTTCCCACAGGAAGAGAATCCTTACACTTTAGAATAGAAAAAAAGAGAATGGTAGTTCAACATATGACCCAATGGAACATAGCTACCAAAACAGAAACTCAAATCTTTTCTGAGATTTGGGGCCCCTAGAGGTCCTACTAGCCCTGAAGCCTCAGGTTTCCATAGGGAAGAGTTACCTGATCTCCAGCAGTGAACACCACCCAGGGCACAGGTGGTAGTGGGGCAGTGATTCTGCAGGCTTTCAGCTCATTTTCAGTTGTTTATGGATCTTTATTGATTTATATGCTCTTCTGAGAATTTAACATTCCCAATGAAGAAACTAACAGAATACACAAACCAATTTGCAATCTCTACTGTTAGGAGCAATGCTGAGGATCAGAATGACCAGGATCAACACTTTCTCCAAAGGCTCCCTGATGCCCCACTCATAATACATGTACAATCTCCAAGAAATTAACATATGGTTGTCTGAATACATTTAATTCACATGGATGTCCAGTATTAACAATGGTGCACACACACATTCAACACACACAAACACACACGCATGTGCACACACACACACACACACACACACACACACACACTCACACACATGAAGTTTGTTAGTAAACATTTAATAGGATACATAGGGGTAGGTAAGATAGCCTTGACTTTTGGTGTATGAGGTATATCTATCTCAAGACTAATTTCAACCTAATGACCTGATGCCCCTGAATACCAAACTGAAAGGGATGGATGGCATCAGCTACCATAGCTGGTTCCTGGCAGCGCCAGCACACAAAGAATGTGTGTACAAAATTCACCTGCCCCCAGGGTACTTTTGTAGTTAAAGCTTCATCCCAGGGTGTCATAAATTGACTTCCAGACCACTCACATATAATCGAATCAAGCCTTTATTGAAGCACACCAGTGGCGGCTGACCAGAACATAAAGCTATTCCCCTGATCAGCCCCGAAAAATTGCAAGGGCACTACTTATAAGCCTGAAAACCATGA